TGCCCCCCCCACCAACGCATCCACCTCCAGCAGCTGCATAAGGAAACTACCATGATGTGTGGTGTGTATGCGTGCTTTCCCACTGAAGAGATATGTTCTTTGGTTACAAAAGTAATGTGTAACTAAATCTGTGATGGGGCATGGAGGGTGTCCAGCATCCTGGCCTATTCGTTGTTGAACTGCTGCTCTGTTTAAGAATGTGTGGAACCAATATGCACTGTCAAGTCTTCATCAATCCATCCCAGTTCTCCTGAGTCTCCACAAAAAGTGAACGTTAGATTCTGGTTAATGAGGCAAAGATCTTTTGATCCAAGTTTTTACTCTGGGAACTTGACCGGCCTACTGTATGAGCAGAGCACACACATAGAGGAGGGGGGGCTTGGACGGGAGAGGTGATGGAGTGTGGCGGCTGGGGGAGGGGTGGAGAAAACTGTAGGGTCTTGGAAAGGAGGTGGTGGGGGTTCATGGTGGGGTCTGAGTCATGACCTAAATTCTGTCTGGAACAGTCCCTCCTTCCCATTTTCTGATCCTCCACCTTCAAACACATACAGATCTCACTGATAACACCTTTGGGGGAAAATCTGCACATTTGGCTGAAGGGCATTATTGTCATTTACCATTTTGCCAACAAAAGAAATGATGCAAATGATTACAAATCATGTCAGATCTCTGCCAAAACAGTTTTATATCCTGGGATACTCAAAAATAAATCAACACTAATGGTTATATTAGTGCTGCCTTTCACACCTCTCCCCTTCTCTCCCTCTCAGCAGATTTTGGCATGGACCAACCACACACATGCACCAGTACACACTATCTTGTCCCTGCTGCGTGACAGGTGTGTGTTATGTCTCCGGGGTGGGGGAGTGTGTCTTGCTGGAACATTTCCATGGACAGTGGGTAATGGTGAGACTGCAGAGGAGGAAAGGGAGCTAGTAGCTTTGGGTGGAAAACAAATATTTGCGAACACTCCCCTGACGTCGGCGCATTTCCCAACGCGTGCATTAAATGCACACGGGCAATATAAGAAAACATTCAGTCCGATACATGAATTAAAACGAACAATCCACAGCCAGCAGTTTAGCAGTGTGCATCACATTCACTCCAAATGGCTCAAGATTGTTAGCAGGCCTACTGCAACACGCTGAACGCACAAAGAGACGCTGAGTATGGAGACAAACCAAAAGGGGTTCATCACAAAGACCCTCTCTGAAAAAGGACTTATGGAAATATACAAGCAGGCCTACACACAGAGCAATTTGAGTAAAGAACACTGGCATAACCAGGGCCTACAAAGCACAAGCATGGCGGCACACACAATACAATTCATTCAGTGATTCATTCATTCTCCCCCCTCCTCCCTTTCTTTCCCCTCACTCCCTCCTCCTCTTCTCTCTCCCTCTGGCCACAGTTGGAGGAATAAGAGGTGTGGGGGGAGGGGCAGCGAGCGATGATAATGCAGCAAGCGGCAGTACTCCACCCAGAAGCAGCTACACACACACACACACACACACATACACACTCACTCAAACACACACACATACACACGCACACTTGGTTATTCAGTTCCTTCTTTATCGCTGCTACAAGACCAATACGCGCCGAACGTAAAACAGAAACTGCCCGCACGCCGCTGCACCACACCCAAATCTTAGGTCCCCCCCCTCCACAGCTCACAAATTTCAAAAACAACATGCCAAAATAGAAAAGCCATGAGCACCGGGCCTAACCTTGCATTATGAAGTCTGCCAGCCTGTCTTCCTCTCTCTCTCTCGCCTCGCTCTCCCTCTATCGCTTTTTTTCGCCCCTCTCTCTCTGTCAGCCTGCTCTTGGCTGGCTGGATCCCAGCTGTCATCCACGCCCAGCCCCTCCCCCACGGGCAGCCTCCAATCGCATGCAGCTCCGCCGCGGGCCAGCCAACCAGCACTAACCTCATTAGCATAGCCGAGGCTGACGCCGAGGTCGTTTTGGGCTGTTGTCGTTTTTTAAAGAGACAGCTGGGCCGCTTCCCTGCCCCGCGACCCTTCACCTTGTCCTCTCACCCGTCTCCCGAGACGCTCCCAGACGGTTCCCTCCATTTTAGCGCACCATTATGTCTGATCTGTCTTTTCTACCCTCTACTGCAGCTCACAATAATTTCCCCTCTGAGAAATCTTGTGTGCCTGCCAAGATTGCACATGCTCTTGGCAAAATTAAGTTCAATTGTTATCTTCACAATTAAAGATTTTGAAGATGTGATTGTTCCAATTGAACATTCCCTGCATGCAAATTGATCTCAAATTCAAAAAGAATAAATCTTCTTGGATCTCAAACAGGCTGAGAGGAAGCAAGAAATACACAGCTGCATTGAAGCCAGTCACTACACATGACATAACGTGAAGAAAAACCCAGACAAGTTTATTAAGCAGTAGCATTTCATGAGCATTTCATGACCCAAAACAGCGAGAAATTATCAAACATTCCTAGGGGACTGGGATAATGTGTTAAAAGCAATAATGAAAGAAAAAAGCATTATCCTATCAGAATCTGGCACAAACTTTGATTGTCTCTCAAGTTTAAATGTCTGTCTTTGCCATGCAGATCATAGTTGGAAAGTAACATGCTCGAAAGGAGAGCTGCAAAAATGCAGTGGCTTTCATGTGTCATATTATCTTCTATTTGTACAGGACCTTACAATTTGACTTCTGAGAGTATGGATAGCCTTTATACAATAAATCATACTTAACATCAGTGTAATGAAATACACGCCAAAAACACAAGCTCCTACATATTCAAATTGACTTTATTCAAGGGTAATTAAGAAATCTCACCCTCACAAATGCGGTCAAGTCTCTGCCGCTTGACTTGTTTGTGTTTGTCCATCAGCGCCATAGACTACGCAGTCTGAACCTGGGACAGAGAACTGATCCAAGTGCGATGGGGCCCCTCAAGTGACGACCGCTTAGATTCACCTGCACACAAATGGGAAAAGTCAGTAATAAAAAAAAGAAACTGAACTGAAGGACTTCATTTGCTGTTGAATTACGAACTGTAGGGGGAAATTTATTTTATATAATTAGACCCGAAAATTAAATTTAAGGTGTTCCATTTTAACATGGACGTTTTGCAGTTTACCTGGCACAAATAGATGTGGTTGGTTTTAGGTGTGAAAATAAAAACAAAGATATAATTGCAAGAATTTCAAAATTCCAGACTGAACGTGAACCATTGATCCCCACTGACACTAATATATAGATATTATCAAATTCAGATATTTGTGACAGGGAATCAACAGAGACACTCACCTTAAGATTAATCTTCCTTGTGCCCGTCCGGTTGACAACTTAGTTTACACTGTAAGCAGAGAAAAGGTAGACATGTGTTAATGTCATGAAGTTAGTATCACTGCAGGTGGTTTCAGCAGCACGTTAACTCCATGTTTGCACATCTGACAACGATTTCAAACACAAAAGTGTCGATAGAATGTGAAAAAGGTCATTGGAGCGAATCGCTGGTTCAAAGTTACCCGACGCTTCGTTACTTTAATGTTATTTTCTATTTAGCGAGCTATGTTGTTGACCACTATGGTTTTTTGTTTACCTTTCCAGGCTGTGTTGCATTAGCTCGTTAGCTTAGAAGAAACACACACACACACACACTTAAAGTTGAGTATGAGTTTGTCTTGAACGACAACTTCGCGGTGGAATCATCCCAGAGCCCCTCGCTAAGCCCACTTACCGTTAACTAACTAGCCCGAGGTGCTAGCTAGCCCTTTTCTAAGCTACCGAGAATAGCCGGGAGTCTTGTAATGAATGGCGGACAGTTATCTCCTCAATTCAAACACTCCTTAAGTAGTTCACGCCGGTTAGCACATCCAACACACGTAATCCGCTCGCTCCGATGTATAGATAGATAATGCTAGCTGCTCAATCGCGATCCGGGCTAATGCTAACTAAGTCCATAGCACGACAGCTAGCTAGCCGATGTTGGCTAGCTAACCCAAACAAACATTTGAGGACTTTAAGTAGCTAACGTTAAGATGGAAGCGCTAAATATTACCAACCCTCGCACATACACAGTTTTCGTCGTTGATTGACTGCCGCTAACTTGCAAGGTGGGTCAAAATAAACCATCTGCACAGCTCCACATATCAGGCGTTTGCAGTGTTGCTAACGCTAGCTAGCCAGCGCCGTTAAGTAGCGTGCCGCCGTGTGTGTGGGGGAGAGATGCGGGCGGAGGGGGAGCCCATTCCGTCCGATTTGTTATCAGCGAGTGGCGCTACAATGTGAACTATCTGATCCTGAGCGTGTTTGGATTAATTCAGCGGGGGGCGGCGAATCGCCCGCGTGGCCGCATCCGAACGGCGCCGCTTTGAAAGCCAGTGAGCGAATCATGCGAGAAATAGTCGATTATTTACCCCGAATCAACTCTTTCAAGAGTGCCGAGACAGTGTGCGTGCGTCGGTGGTGTTCCCCTTCTCCCGATCGCCATGAAATTAGACAAAAGAGGAAGTGGCTCGTCGGTGGTGGTGGTGGGGGGGTAGGCGGCCTGTGTAAGAGCATCGCTGACCTGGAAGGAGCGCCCTCATCTCCCACGGCGGAACGGTTATCTCACTTCGACGTGGATGCTGGTTTACCCACGAAACTTTTTCCAAACCCGCAAGTGCGATCATGAAAAACTTTTCTGTAACTTTACTCGCTATTCATCTTATCCAAGGATCCAACTATTTAACAGAATTCCTCTGATGCAGACAGATATTACTAAGGTTAATAAGCAGGAGAGAGAATCATTTTATATTAAACATAAAAATGAAACAATCTTCACATAAATAGTTGAACTTCAAATTAGAACGGATTGAATATTATCTAATTTAACTCAGTGCAGGACTGGACTCAGCCACTAGAGGTCATACAAGAATATAACAATCCCATTGAGTCCTGCTTTGCATTTTCATTTCACTAGTTTCACATTATTTGCTATAATAAATGAAGGACGACACAATTTTTGGGAAAAAAATATCATTCTCTATTAAAGTTTATTTGTACATAAATTGTGCAACAGTAATATTTCCATCTGAAAACACAAGAAAGATCATTTCTGAAAGGCCACCAAGTCATTTGCATCACTCCCACCTTTGTCACATTCACTCAGAAGTAGCTCGACATGTGTACTCACTCTAACCACTGTACAGTACATTTCATTGTGCCCTATTTAAGTCCAGCTGCAGCATCAATCCAGTTTTTCAAAAAGCGATTATAGTGCATGTACCACCAGTTCAAAAATATCTGAATTAGCGCAAATGGAGTTTGCAAAAATGTCTCGTTGTGAAAGAGAAGACCAGAGCCCCAAGAACTCTTGTTTTAAGCTTAAGGCAATGTTCAGTTTACAGTATCATCAGTATGACTGCTGACATTGTGCTAATGTCCAAACAAACTCATAATGTATATAGGAAAAACAAAGAGAGGCATCCTTTCTCCTATCAGAAGAAAACCTTCCCTTTGATGATGTAGAGTTGCTTCAAAAGGACAAATCAATGACAGAACAGCAGTAAAAGCAGATTTTGTTTCCAGGGTCTATGACAGATTTAAGGGACTGCAGCAAAATCTTGGAATATATCCTGTTCAACCTACCAGAGAGCATTTGTATATGGACATAATTCCTATATTTGGCCTAGTTGCATTTTATTTTTAGCTACACACGGTAGCATTAGGTTCTGCTTTACTTTATGTCCAATTTCAGAGACCCACACACTTAAGAAGCATCTGCTGACTGAGCAATGCTCAAAAACAATCCCAACTAATCTGGCCCAAGAATGTTGTGCTTAACGCAATATGTTCTTCGATAAGGATATGTAAGGATATCAAGATGCTTACCAACAGTTAATGCTAATTTAAGACTTGTATCAATATGAAATATTAGCCAAAAGCCTGTAAGCATGAAAACTCACTTATTTGTTCATGCACATTTCCCTATGGAGTGTTGAAAAGGCAGGCACTGACACTTATGTGAAATGTTTAACAGTGAATTAGTTCCAAGTGTTACAATCATTACATTGTAATTGGATATTAAATGACGCTAATTGCTTGGTTCAAACTCTGGATGAAAGCCTTATGAGGTCAGCACGTTCCCAAGGATTCTGCCCAAAGAGCACGCAAAGCCTACTGGTGTGCTTAACATGGTTATGGAGGCTCTAATTACACTAGGAGAACCAACAAGTGGTCAGTTTTCTTCTATAAGGTTCAAATCCAGTTCTGTGCAGTCCCTCTCAAAAACAATCGTTTGTCCTCCATCTATTAAAGTCCTTTTTCTTTTATCCTCTTCTTCCTCCTCCTCATCTTCTTCACTTTCACTTAGTGGTCCGATGCTGCCTCGACCCAGGAACTCTGCAGGGGAGAAGGCTGAGCACTGCTCTGCCTGGGAAGACACTGGAATTACACAGCCATCTGTAGCACATGCAAGGCTCTCACGATTACCAATCTACATAGGAGAAAGAAGCATCATGAGTATCATGTGACAATTCTACCAATAAACTTAATTTTATATAGATAGAGATCTCAGTAATGATTCCAACACTCTGAAATAGGAAGAGATAATGGCATAGTTTAACTGTGCTGAGCCAGGGTTGTGGGAGATAAGGTGCAGCCAGAAAAAGAATTAACCAAGTCCTGTGGATTAGTTAAAGGAGAAGTTTGTTTTTTTTCAACCTGGTCCTTATTTCCAGCATATGTTATGTAGACCTACTCACCCATACATGTTTGGAGTAACTTGGAGTCCTTCGGAAGCTTTTAGATCCACACACGATCTGCGTTTATCCATACAAGGCAAGTGATTGGGGCATCCACAATACAGCCTCTAAATAACGCATTATCTGCCGCCAAACTCTTTATTTACTATGAATCGCCAGCACTAGTCCCCTGTGAGTCCAAATTGCTTTGTTTACATCCCGGGCTTTCACTGGGGTGACGTCACAGAGGCGCGCAGCTGCAGCACAGCTTACGATCAGCTGTGTTTGTTTACACAGAGTTTGCTGCTGCTAGTTTTGCGCAACATGGCAGAATACTTATCAGGTGCTTTACAGTACAATATTTTTTTTTAAAGCAGCTGTGTCCTGGTGCTCAGGCGTATTTACCCGGTTAAAGGCTAGCTAACTTCAGCAGGCTAACGAGCAGCCTCTGAACTAGGGTTAGCTTAGCGAACCGAGAGCGAGTTGTCTTCCTGTTTAATCAACAAACCGGGTGAATCTGCCATGTTGCGCAAAACTAGCAGCAGCAAACTCTGTGTAAACAAACACAGCTGATCGTAAGCTGTGCTGCGGCTGCGCACCTCGGTGATGTCACCCTAGTGAAAGCCCGGGATGTAAACAAAGCAACTTGGACTCACAGGGGACTAGTGCTGGCGATTCATAGTAAATAAAGAGTTTGGTGGCAGATAATGCGTTATTTAGACGCTGTATTGTGGATGCCCCAATCACTTGCCTTGTATGGATATACGCTGATCGCGTGTGGATCTAAAAGCGTCCGAAGGACTCCAAGTTACTCCAAACCTTTATGGGTGAGTAGATCTACATACCATATGCTGGAAATAAGGACCAGGTTGAAAAAAAAACAACTTCTCCTTTAAGCCGTTTTCAGATATGACCTCTGGGTAAAGTCTGTAGAATTGGCTTCAGAGTTTACCGAGAGCCTTCCTTTCACATATGCACAACTCATTGGGAGTTTTTCTTGCACCCCCCACACGCTCTCAAGTGAATCTAGGGGGGATCCCCAGCTGTGTTCACACATCGACATTTCAACAGACTTTCTGTAGAATCTGAAGAGTTTCACTCTGACATTTGCATTCACACACTCACCACATCTGGAGAAAATACAGAGGAACTGCAGAATCCAGTGCGTGTCTGATAGCAGCAACTCTGCCTGTAACAAGAACTGATAGAAACTACCTACCATGACAACCGATTGCGATGTCTCACCTGTGTCATCTTGCTAAAGTTAAGGCCTGGCCTGGGGTAGGGGAGAACATCTGCATCATGGCGCCTCTTTAAGCGTGGTTTGCGCATGTCACAGGGCTGTGAGTGGCACCGTGGCAGCGCTGGATGCAGGTCACGCCTACAGGAGGATGGTGTACTGCAGGCTGAAGTGGGAGATGGAGACAGGGCTGGGTGCTCTATGCCTGAACAGCCATATGTTAGAGCAGAGGCTGGGGAGGGCTTGGGCGGCAGGAGTGCAACAGAGGCGTCCTGAATGTGCACAGGGGAGAGGGAGAAGCGGCGCCGCAGCATTGAGTGGGAAATCCGGGGGGCCGGTGAAGAGGAGCAGGAGGATGGAGTAGCAAAGGAGGCAGAGCAGGCTCCTTTCAGAGTGTCACAGGGGTCCCATGGGAAGCTCCATGGCAGTGGGGAGTCAGAGGAGAGTGCTAAGCTAAAGAAGGTAGGGCTAGAAGATGAGTGTACAGAGGAAGAGGAACTGGGACCACAAAGTAGCAAAGAGCTGGCTCCAGAGCCAGAACTAGATGCTCCTCCACTTGGGCAGCCACGTTTGACTGGGGTCCAAACCTTGGATGCACTAGGATGCCAGGTGGAGCGGCACCGAAACAGGTCCTCTGGAACAGAGAGGGACCGACAGTGGCGTTTTGGAGGTGGTGGCGGTGGTGAGTTTTGTAAAGCCTTTTCTGTGAAGGAAGAAACCTCCATTCTCTGGTGATGCTCTCCAGAGTGTGATGGAAGCCATATGGAGTCAAGTCCACAGGATTCATCTAGAAAGTTGGCTTTGGATGATGGGTGTGTTGTTGAGCGGGTTTCTGAAAGGGCAAAAAGACTGACATGAGACAGATTTCCAAACAGATAGGTTGCAAATGCTGGACTTAAATGAATAAACTTGCCTTGTCTTGATCGACCAGTGCTCCACGAGACAGTGGGACTGGAGCCGACTGCAGGTAATGACTGAAAGAGAAACATGAGAAAACAGGCGGTCAATGAAGCACAGTATTTTAATAAAGGGGACAAGATTTATTTTTCTGTCCAACTCACCACATTCACATTGAATGAGAAAGCCTTTTGATAAGGCTCTTCCAGACTCTGCTTACGGAGCTGCTCTGTGATAAGTGTCACCATAGTTGAAGCTATTATCCAGGTATAGACATGGATGATGCAGAGGTTTATTGAGGGCAGTGGAAATTGTATTTGTCAGAAACCTGGCGTGGTTTTGTGGTGTCCCCTCCACACCTCAACCAGCCAGACTGACCCGCTTTGCTCACTATGCCACCGTCATTGTTATTCCACCTAAAGAGACAAATAAGGGACACAGACATTGCACATAAAGTATTTAAGTGAAAAGAAGCCTAAACATTTGCCAGACAGATGCACACAACCTCAGATTCAAGTGTAAAATGTGCTAATGGGGACTTTCCAGCCACATGTTGTTACTGCTGTGTGGAAAAGCCCACAGAAAAAGGATCAGAGTGGCCACATATAACTGAGACCCACCTCATTCTCACATAAAAAGGCAGAGGCAGAAGTTCATGTTCACAAAAGGCAGAGAGAACACATGGATGTGAGGAGACGCAGAACAAAGAAACACTTAAAATTCGATCAAGCACATGGGCATTTCTTACTGGGACTACAAACATACTGGGGTTATTTAAAAGTAAATGCTGAGTATGGAGCAAGTGAAAACCTTTGGGGCAATACCATGGCAATCAAAGTGAGTTGGGTCCAATAAAAACAAATGACAAGAGTTGTGAGCTGGAAGAGAATGGAAGGGGGAGGGAGAGACGAAAGGGGAAAAGATGGGGGAAGTGTGTGTGAAAAATGAATGGGGATAGAGGTTGGAAGCATGCCATAGTATCTTTGCAAGAGGGACAAAAGAACAGTGAGCAGGTCTCAAGGGCTTAGGTTACCAAGGAAAAGCCAAAATGGTGTGGAGCAGGACCACCATACAGCCTGCATGTGCATTTCATAAACACACGTTCCTTTAACATGTTAACATCTAACGGTTAGTGAATCTATAGACATCTGAGGATTAACCTGGAAGAAAACCCAGGAATCCAATTGAAAGTAAACCACAAGGACAAACGTTAATCAAAAATCTGATGTAATAACATGTGACATGACCTTTTAGTCTTTGTAACTCTTCACATGTGCGGAGGAACTCAACTCAAACCTGTATTGAATGCTGACAAAGTGGATATCAACACAAAAACAGCATCAACTTCAAACTACGCGTCTCAATCTGAATCTCGACGGTGTTGGCAGTCAGATGTGGCTTTCCGGGCCTTCCTCCTTGTGGCGAACACGGTGCTACACTGTTAGCCTAATTCCACATGCCACAAGACAAGCTACTTCACCGGGCCAGGGGCCACAGGCTGAACCTCATCATGTGGCAGCGGTCCCTGGTGAAAGAGAAGCTGTCCCCTCCTCACAGACAGACAAGAGCAGTGCTGTCAACCATCAAATCATTGCAAACTTTAAAAAACACTGTTCAACCAGAAACTTAACCAGATCAATACAAACTCATGATCCTCAAAACACAACAGCACATAGCACAAAACAATACCGATTAAGGCTCATGTGCTAGGCTAGTAAAGTTGTTCTGACTTAACCTAAGGATATCTGGAGTGCAAACCAACAAGCAAGTTTGTTACTCTCATTCAAAACTAAAGCCCACGACGCCTGTTAGCAAATTAAAAATCTATAGCATTACTCCCAACGCTAGCTGCAGGACAACTGTTTGTCATTGGCCATGCGAGACTATTAAACATGAGGCTAGATTTAGTAGCTAAATCGGATAGCGACTTTGACTGGTGGACATATAAAGTAAGCTAGCTCAGCGACACGATGCAGCCAGCGGAGCACCGAGTTATTAGCCGGTTGTGTTAGCTAGCTGATAACAAGTGCCTTAACCAACTGTAGGAGCACTCGGTCTGTTTGCTAGCAGGGAATAGCTTGTCACTGCAGCCGGCTGAGGCCACCGGTCGATCGGCTAAAACACGTAAAGGGGCGACAGAGCACGTAGAGGCTGGATCGATCATGTATGTGTGAGTCAGCTGTAGCTTTAGCTCGGTTACGCAGCCTCTCTGCACGCTAGCATGCTGCAGCTGTCCTGGTGCATTACCTGCTTTCAGTGGTTCCTTAGCAACCGTAGCTGCACTCAGCGGAGCAGCCAGGGAGCAGGCCAGCGGGGTATTTATAGCCTTTGGACGATACCACTACAGAGGGGTTTATTTCAATATTTTAGCCAAGTGGAGGAAAGGCGACAATACTTGCTTGGCACCTACATTTTTAATATAGCGTTCGTACTTTTTTTTTCAACCGGAACATTTTGTTTAGCAATGTCTGTTTTATGTTGTTTTGCACGTTGCAGCCCCGCTATCGGTCCCACAGTTAGACTCTTCTGAATAAAGTGACAGCATGAAATCAAAACGGATCAAACGTCAGCGGGATGTTTTTTCTGATATGTTCATACTTAATAAATCCAATGCTAATGCTAACTCTACCATAGCATTGCCACGAGTACAAAAAATGGAGCGTGCTGCAAGTAAAAGTTAACCGAGGTCTCTTCTTGGCGCATGCGCGTTGGGTGTCAGGAAGAGCCCGCAAAGCGATTCATGAAAACAATCCAATAAATGACACAGATAAAGTTCTCTCCATTGTAATCCGAGTCCACCTGTTGTCTCTGCGACATCTGACCAGTCCGTTGAGGAAAAACTGTTTCATTGTTTATCGATTCAGTAAAACAGAGGTAGATTATTTGTATTTCTGTAAACGTCCGTCGGAATTCTGAGGTAATAAACACATCGTTTCAGAAAGCCCGAGAGGGAGCTACGAGTAAGTCCTTACCAATTCTTACTGCAGCGGCTCTGTGAGTCATGGCGCTCCACAAACTCAAGAAAGAAGAAACCCTCGCCCTGAGGAAGAGATTGATCGGGTACGTTGAAGTGACACAGAGATTTTTCACGCTGTTTGCAGATTTACATGTTGACTGCACATGTGACACTGACACGTATTCGTCCACCTCATGACAGACAGTCGTGCAGACTCTTCTACTCAGACGACCCAGTGAAAATAGTCCGAGCAAGAGGACAGTATCTGTTCGATGAAAATGACAAGCGCTTCCTGGACTGCATCAGTAACGTGCATCATGGTAAAACACTGTGCATGCTTTCTGATTCATGAGAAAGTTTCCTCCACTGACTAACTTGTGTGATTCCCCCCCCCCACAATAGTTGGCCACTGTCACCCCAGTGTTACAAAGGCTGCAGCTGCACAGATGGAGCTCCTGAACACAAACTCCAGATTCCTGCATGACAACATAGTCATGTATGCAGACCGCCTGGCTGCCACTCTGCCTGAGAAACTGTGTGTCTTCTACTTTGTTAACTCTGGGTAAGTCATGTGTCTTAATATGACCCAAGATCCTACAAGATAGTACGCAGCCAGTGGCTCTGGATCAGGAGGAAAGATCCCAACTGGATGCCAAGATAAAAAAATTATGGCATTAGGAATCAAGGTCCAGGCACTGTAAAAGGCCTTTATTTCAATGGGCTTGAAGCAGTGAAATACACTGTGTGACTGTGTCTTTGTGTGTCAGTACAACCTGATAAGGGCATAAGCCGATACACGTTGGTGTATTTTAATGCGTCAAGCCCAGTGAAATAAAGGCCTTTTACAGTGCCTGGACCTTGATTCTTAATGCCATAATTTTTGGACATAAGTGTTCCTCTAATTTTTGGACACTTATTCCCTTCCACGAGCACCAGTGGTTTGAGGGACCCACACTCCTGCCACCTCTTTCTGGGTCCCAAGATGTTAGGGACCCAGGTCTGACCCAGGTCTGATCAGCCTTTGCTGGGCCTGCCTTAGACGAGGGTGTCTTGTGATCATGTACTTGTCCTATGTTCCTAAAAAACCTGAAGCCCACACCCATTGCTTTTTACATCTACTTTTCCAACAGATCAGAAGCCAATGATCTCGCCCTTCGCCTGGCACAGCAGTACACCCAACACAAGGACGTCATCGTGCTCGACCAGTAAGTACTGTGTTCTAATGTAACAGACTCACCCTCTGACAATGCACTTGCTTATGTATTGCAATGACCTCTTCTTCTACACCAGTGCATACCATGGGCATCTCATGTCCCTCATCGACATTAGCCCTTACAAGTTCCGGAAACTGGCAGGACAGAAAGAATGGGTTCATGTGGTGTGTACATTTATATGAGCAGCATTACACAAACTGATGACCAAGAGTGAACTGCTGCCAATCTGAGAACATTTGTTTTTATCTGCATGTAGGCACCGTTACCAGACACCTACAGAGGCAAATACAGGGAGAATCACCCCAGCCCAGGCCAAGCTTACGCTGATACAGTGAAAGACCTAATAGAGGACGTGCACAGGAAAGGCCGTAAGGTACAATTTAACACATTTCCATAGAGACTGAATGACAAAGGTAATTCAAAACAGAGCCAGACTGATTTATCGGCCGATGTTGGCAGGTATCTGTGTTTATGTTTCTATTTTATGTAGAGAATATATTGATTTTCTTAATTTGAGTTGTTCTTTTTATTCATAGTTATTATAATAAAGTTGTATGTATTGATTGTGAAACAAGCCTCAATTACATGTCTTTGTGATAGGGTGGATTTTTAAAGATGTTTTTTAGAAAAGTTAACGGCTCCCAAATATTCACATTGACCAGACTCTAATTTAGAACACATTATACAAAGACATTTAGAAAAGGCTGTATTGAATGCATTCTTTATGTAAACATTCGTTATTTGCTACATTTTCCCATAGATCTGTGCCTTCTTTGCTGAATCACTGCCAAGTGTTGGAGGACAAATCATCTTGCCCCAAGGATACTCAGCTAAAGTTGCAGAGTAAGAGGAAGCAAACTTATTTTGAAGTTCTCATCTTTTTTAGCCACATGTACAATAATGGTGACGAGCTATGCCTCCCTCATACGCTCCGCAGATACGTGCGTTCAGCCGGTGGAGTCTTTGTGGCAGATGAAGTCCAGACAGGTTTTGGACGTGTGGGGAGTCACTTCTGGGCTTTCCAGCTGCAGGGAGAGGGCTTCTGTCCTGATATTGTGACGATGGGGAAACCGATGGGAAATGGGCATCCATTGGCATGTGTGGCAACCACTGTAGAGATAGCTGGAGCTTTCACAGCCAACGGAGTGGAGTACTTCAATACGGTAACTATGCAGTGAACTCATTGGCCACATTGAACGTAGGTAAAACTCTACAGTAAAGTTACCCATGTACTTGCGGTTCCTTTTTGTATTACAGGTGTCTGTATTTTTATGGCAATGCATTTGACTTGGCCACATTGACAGTATCCGCTCATCTCAGACCTTTTAACCAACAAGCACCAGAAAGATATTATACCTCACTCACCTCAGGATTTGTTACCATTGGCACTGAATTACAGAATTATTCTCAAACGATATGATATAAAATATATCTATCGGTTGATCTATTTGTGGTCTTTATCACTGAGGAAAATATTTCACCTTCACATGATAACACCACATGACCTGCTCTTCTGAGTTTTCTATTTTGATGCCGGTTGCATGATGATTATTAATATTAATGATTTTAAAGTAGTAAGGCAAAGTTATATTTTTCCCCCTCAAATGTGAAATATTCACTTGATTCAGTTTCAACAGAAAATATGAATACATCTGCATGAGATAAGAGGTTTCTGTCTAACTTAACGCAGTTTGGAGGTAACCCAGTGTCGTGTGCTATTGGCCTGGCAGTCCTTGATGTGATAGAGGAGGAGGACCTTAGAGGAAATGCCATGAGAGTGGGAGCACACCTAACAGAGCTGCTCACAAAGCTGCAAACCCGACATCAAATAATTGGCGATGTCAGGTAAGGATGATGTTTCTAGTGCCCCCTGGCTCTTTAAACTCAGTCTAATGCTTTCACTTAAACACTTACAGTCCCTTGGATTTGTCCTCCTAGGAGTTCCCACTAACAGTATCTTGACTGATTAGACATCCAGTGGGAACAGGTAGTGTTTTTGTGGCATTTTATGAGGGGGAAGAGATTATAATATCGATAGTGACTAATAGTGATAAGTGCTAATTTTTCATGCAGGGGGGCTTTGAAATAGCTACTAAGAAAATGTGGAAATGTGGTCCACAAATAGAAAATTATGCATGTGCACATAAATAAAAAGAAACACAGCATGATGCACCAAATTGCACATAGATATCATTTCTCTAAAGATTTTTTTGATAATGGTCCATGAATCATACCTGACAACTGTGAAAATGTCAAAACTTCCAATGCCAGCATTGCAAAGAAAACTGAATGTATCCTACATAGTGAATCACTAAATCTGATTTTTAAGATCTAAGATATTCTGAAGAAGCTAACATGTAGCATACACTAAATATCTAGGATACATTTAGGTCAGCTAACTTTAGACATTAACTCAACTTAAACTAGAATGCCCCCCTGTAAGCAAGACGTTTTTTGTAATCTTGGTTGCAAAAAGCTCAGGAGGGAAAAATAATTTCCTTTTGTGAAGGAAAACAAAAGTGCACCCCTGAAAACACATGTGGATACATAGAGCCTCTGAAGGTTGAGCCATGTAACTGATTTGTTTTTTGTAGTGTGTGCATCAGGCCTACAAGTAGGGCATAGATATTGGGAATAACATTAACAGTGCAAGTCCCACTTATCAGATGAAAATCATGACAATGATTTACTCAACCCTGCCACTGAAAATTAAAAATTCCTGTACCTTTACTAATCATGTCAAATCACTTAATTGATCCACAGGTGGACTCACTCAAGGACCTGTTTTTTGCTTTGGAATTATGGGATTTCGAGTTTCAATTGATGAGAAGGATAAGCAAATCAGCCTAAGGCTGCAACACAATAAAAATTACGGTGTTTGGATTCTTGATATTTCCCATGGCCATGTGCATGTGTATTTATCTCCTTTCACTACTATGGTAAAGTGGTTCCTGATTGGGGGTCACTGTTTCCAGATTAACCCACTAAAATGTGATGCTAGTATAATGTGTTGAGACAGTGGGAATATTTTTAATACATGTTTCCTATTGCTTTAATAGAGTTCTCTTGTGTTGTCATGTCACATAACTATGTAGAAGTGTTTAAAAAAGCTACAAGTTATTCCATTGGACATATATATGAGGGGTACACAGAATATTTTCTATGTAATATGGGATCCTTGGCTGAGGTTAAACATTAAAACCTCCAACTGACCAAATTGAGTCTAATGAAAAATGATGCTTATGTTGTAACAGAGGTGTGGGGCTGTTTGTGGGACTGGAGCTGGTCACTGACAGAGAGCAGAAGACTCCTGCCACACAAACAGCAGCGCTGGTGGTTAAGAGGTATCTGTTCATCACAATACTTGATTTCATGTTGCAGATTTAACCTTCTAGGAACAAGGAATACATCCTATGTGTCTCATTTATACACGGTCTCTATCATGTGTTGTAGGTTGAAGGAAGAGGATCAGATCTGTGTTAGTACAGATGGCCCCTGGGAGAATGTGGTTAAGTTCAAACCCCCGATGTGCTTCTGTATGGAGGATGCAGAGCTGGTGGTGCGATGCATTGACCGCATCCTCACAGGTTACTTACACAAACACCACCATTCAACAGATTCTACGCATTTTATCTTCTTAACTCATTAGCAGTCAAACATGTGCAGAATAACCCATGAAATGTGCTTGTTCTCACAGACATCAAGGCCAACGACCTTAAACTGGAAAAGGAAGACATCTAAGGTTTGTTAAACCTGTAGAAAAACTTTTAATTGCATCAGACATCGTCAGATGGTCACATTCATAAAGTTCAGAGGTAGAGATATGAATGTTTGGGATTCCAGTAGATCAAACAAGTTCAGTCACTTCACAGAACATGTTGCTGCCTCACACTCACAGACCATTGTAGGGACTAGATCACTTTGTTCTTTAAACATATCACTGAAGTCTTCAGATGCAACAATCTTCTTACAGCATTTTTTTTTTATATCAAAAGGTTCAATCTTGCAATATAAAAGAGACAGGTGATAAATTTTAATACTGAAGAACTGCTCTACAATATTAAATTGAATTCTTTTTCTCCAGCAGGTCTTCGATGCCGATTTATGGTTTGGACATTGGTTGAATGAGGACAGGTCATTTCACAAAACCCAGCCAACTGGAGGTAGTCATCTTTAAAATGAGGCTAGATGTGACACATCAACACCACCTGGGAGATATTTCATATATAAGATTCTAACTTGACACTAATGAACTTCATTCTCTTTTTTCAAGAGATCAATAAATAATTTAATTTTCCTCTACTTTCTCTATATTCTTTTACCCAGTCATATTTAAAAATAGTCCCAGCTTATTTGACTGATCAGCAACATGTTCTCAATACACAATATGGTTGATATAATCACTTACCAGACCACTATCTTTAACTCCTGGACACATTCACAAAAATGCTCAAGTATCGCAGTTTCTCATCTAGTGGGGTGGGTATTAAAACTCAGCCAGTTATCCTGCAGGTAGTGACGCCCTCTCCCACAGCTTCTCAAAGAGGCATCCGCAGTGTCATTAACATTACTCAAGACAAAACAAGCAAGCCATTTAAAACAGTACAAAACATTTAACATTAACTTTACAAATAATAACAAAAAGATCCGAGTGTAATAGAAACCAAAAGTTTATTTCTACCAATTTGCCCAAGACACTAGAGGAATGAGTTTCCAGTGAGAGAGGGAATACCCTCTTACATTAACAGGCTTGCGTTCAGTTGAATAACACTAGTAAAGCCACTTAAAATTGCAGACATGATGGGGGAAGAATCTCCTTAAAAGCCAAAAAAAAAGAAAAAAAAGATGCTGGTTGTCTTCGTCTACTATGCCATCTGCAAACATTCACTTGACAATGAACCCTTTGATTAGTTTAAATCCCTTATTTTACCTCACCCCACATATGAAGCCATGCAACTCGCATCAGACACTCAGCACGGGAGAAAGTAACTAAAGATCTAGAAACACCAAAAAAAAAAAAAAGCAAAATTGTTTTATTTGTGAGCTTTAAAAGCTCTTGCTCCTGCTCATCTGTAAATCCAGTAGACATGTAAAAATACAACCATACAATACATTAGATTCAAAAGGGTACCAAAAAGTACAGTAAAAATAACACTTCCATCACTGGAAATGTAAATGGACACAAAACAATATAAAATAAAAAGTGGAAAAGTGACATTTGCTTCCCCAGTTCCTCACTTGATCTGTACAAATGGAGCATGAGTCCAAATTTCTGCCAACTCCAAAGGAAAAGCCAGAGCCCATGTTCGCTGTGGTCAGACCATGGATCTCTTTTTCTTATTTACTTTAGACCTTAAGAGAAAAACATGGTGCTTAACGTTACTGAGAATAAACCAAATATGGCATGCTGTTACACAAAGACAGACAGGTGCATGAATGAGTTTGACAAGTCAGTGAATGAACACACACTTGGGGGGGGGAGGGGACACGACCGCTAACTATTACATGAAGCACCATGTGGAAAAGGTGAAACGGTCCTTATTTCTGTTTCTCAACCACCACCAACTCAACCCTTAGTGATCAAGTAGTGTTTGTAGAGATGCATCTTAAGATGGCTGACAGGTGGAATGAATCCATCTTTAATGATCACAGACCCCACAACACGGCCTACCCTAACCCCACCACAATGCTCGAATGGATTTAGAGTAGATGGAGATCTTTGGGATCAAAAAGGCACCAATGGTTACATCTATGTTCTCATACTACCACGGATGATGCAAAAATGCATACCTGCACTACGTGTGATCAGTATGGCTTGTAGCTACTCTGGTGGCCTCCACGTCTTGGAGTTTTCCCATAGCTTGTATTGCCCTGGTCTGGAGGACAAGAGAAAAAGGGACTGAGTTCTTCTGTACAACAAGGAGGACCAAGAAAATAAAGTTTCTTTTTCGTTCCCTGGGGGCACTTATCGCTTACTGTAATCGTAGCCACCCCCATAGCCGTAATAACCAGCAGAGTAGTCATAGCCGCCATATCCGTAGCCTTGCTGTCCATAACCATAGTTCTGGTTGTATCCCTGGTTCCAGTAGTTATTGTAGCCTTGATTCCAGTTGTGGCCCTGGCCTAGAAATGACAGATGAAGCCATTGTCACAACTCTAAAGAATACCAGAAAACTAATTCACACAAATGTGATTCTACCACTGAATGTGGGTGAGTAAGAAGTCTTTGGTGGTATGTACATATAGGCACTTACCTCCACGGGGCCTGCCACGTCCACCATATCCACGAGAACCGTACTGCTGCTGCTGGTACACCTCTTTGGGCTGGGCTACTTTAACTTCGCACTGGAACAACAAAAAAGCAAGAGGAGCTTTTTGAAAGAGTATATTTTAATTAAATTTCATCAGTGTGCAAAATGTGTGTCATTTTTTTACCTTGCTTCCACCAACATTATGGTATTTCTTCTCCATAACTTTGAGGGGAGCCTCTTCCTTGTATGTGATGAACACGAATCCCCTCCTCTTGTCTGTCTTTGGATCTTGGGGAAGCTCAATGGTCTCAATCTAAACAAGAAAACAAACAATGTAAAGGGGCTGATATCATGAAACCTGTTCAGATACATGATTCACAGACTAACAGTGAATTTCTTACCTCTCCAAAGGTTCCAAAGTACTCCTGGATGACTTCCTTTGAAGTATCAGGGTTGAGGCCTCCCACAAAGATTTTCTTGATCGGGTCCTTCTTCATGGCCATTGCTTTCTTCGGGTCAATCTGTCGGCCATCTAACCTGTGCTCCTTCTGTTCCAGGACCTTAAAGGAGAAAACAAGACAAGAACGCATTGAAAACTGCCCATCCTGTATACACCAGCAATCATTAAGCGCCGACTCAAATCGCTTTGTTTCTCACCTTATCTACACTGACTGAATCTTTGAAGAGAATGAAGCCGAAGCCTCTTGACCGGCCTGTCTGCTGGTCCATCTTTATGGTGCAGTCCGTCACTTCACCAAACTTGGAGAAGTAATCTTTAAGATCCTTCTTGCTCGTGTCCCAGCTGAGACCACCAACAAACATTTTCCTAAACACACAAATAAGGAAGGGGACACATTTAGTGTAACTGGCAGCACCGATCCTCCAACTTTATATATGGCTGTGGGGGGTGGGGTGGTTGCTGGCCGGAGGGGGTGTAAATGTACACACTGTTCCAGAACATCTGTTGACCCCATGACGTGGGAAGGTATGCAACAATTACAGTAGCTTGTGGCTAATTTACAACATTAATGAAATACGATGAAAATTGCTGTACGGGCAATGTGCACATTTCCCCATTAGCCAATACATTAGATTTCTTCCTCACGCGCCCATCCCCCCTCCACTCTGCACATGGCGCCAACAAAGGCCGGCTGAACAAAGAAACATGGCACACCACGACTGCGCTTAACGATCGTCGGATACATGATAGGTTCGCGTCATGGCGTTCAGCACTCACCCGGCATCCTCCTCGCCCTTGCTGGCGTCGATCTGTCCGCCCTCGTTGCCGCCGTTCTGCGAGTCCCCGTCCGCGTCGGGCCCCGCAGCCTCCTCGCACTCATTCACGGCGCTGTCGTCGTTCCCCTCCTCGCCGAGGCCGGCTCCGTTGAAATCATCGTCGACTTCGTGGCCGTTTTCCGATGTTTCCATGTACTGCTGCTCCGTCTCAGACATGTTTGAACTATTAAACCTGGAGGACAAAGACAAAACGCGCCCGGTTATCTAAAATCCCGGTGGTTACATAACCAGTCGGGCAGTCCATGCTTCGCCATTTACATGGTGCCAATGCATGCATTTCCCACCATTTTGACCGGCACAATCGCGCTCCATGTATCCACAGATTGCCTCATCTGCGTGCCGGCAAATGGCACCGGAGTACCCGTCTACAAACTCAACATGGTGGCCCCCCCATCATCCTAAATACATTTCTACTGGAGACACATGTTAGAAAAACGCCCAGCGTGTGTACCACACTGATAAACCGAACCCACACTGTGCAACTCAAAATCGCGGTTACGTAATGCAGAGGCCGAGCAGCCGCACTCCAGGGCCGCTACTTGTGCTGTTTACACACATCTAACGTACCGGCGCCATGAACAACGATAGAGCAAAGGGCCGCGGCCGCGCGGGTACTTACGACAACACAGTGAAACAAACCGAGGCTAAAGAAGAAGGGAAAGCAGCTTACTGGTCACACAACCGGAGAGCTCTCTTCAAGATGGATTCTCCCACTCGACGACAACTCGTGGTTGGTTTTCTAGAACCGGCAGAAAAAAAAAACACTTTTCTGCGGAGGCGGCGCCTGATTGGATGATCGCGGCTGTCGCTCACGGCGGCGGCCAATTGCGCGCGCTGCTTTCTTTTTTTTTTTTTACGCAGGAGCTGTTCACGCCCCTCCTCACACAGGAAGCGACTCGCAGCACATTTTCTGCCTCGGATCCAAATGATTCGTCCGCCGCTGTTGCGTCGAATAATGTTTCTCTCTGCGTTTGACTGACTCGGATCTCAGGCCGCTCTGGATCTGACGAATCTGCAGCAACGCTCAACACAAGTACAGTCCACTCATGTGTGGAGAGATCACGGTCGTGGTATGGAAGATGTCCAAAATGTAGATTATTATCATATTTGGACAATATTGATAAATTCTGATTGCCCTTTATGTATATGTTATCCTGTAACTAAAGTATAGATTTATAAAACATACTGAACAAGGGTTGAACAAAGAAACACAAACCATATAATAATGAAAAGAAGTACATTATGTAGTACAGGTCCACACTAAACGCTATTTGGTTTGTTAGTATGTACTTTAATTGAGTGTATCAAAGAGTTGCTGATTCAAGAAGTAATGAATCACATTTGGCTGTGTTGTGCTGCAATGTATTGTTACTGTAATTAGGATATAATAAGAAGTACTTTTATTGATCCTCCAAAGAGGAAATTCACTATTGACACAGTAACACAGGGGGGAATGTAGAAAGAATAGAAATAGATATACTATATACCATTACAATATATTCACAAGTGTATTTATTGTGTCTTTCAGGGAAATGTATTTGTAGCCAGGATAGTACAAACACACAAACCACGAAAACACACAAAACACCTACACTCTGGTTGACAAAGTGACAATTTGAGTTCTGTAATTTATTGAAAGAAGTAGAACCATTTATGTAAATCTGCTGAATCTGAAATCTCATTATGAGTCAAGTCACACCCCTGTTATATTTTTTCCATAGAAAACAAACTTAACAGTTTATTTGTGTTGAAAATATATTTTATTTTTTTATCGAAGGACTGAAGACATTTGTTAGAATGTACCCATTCAGATGTTATGTATTCCTTTCTTACTTCTTGTCTTCTGCCTCTTCCACAACGATTTGAGGCATGTTGGGACAGTTTTTCATCAGCCAGTGAGCTAGCCAAACCTATTGTAAACAATGATATCAACAATAATAAATGGCTAATGAATAAATCTATCCATCTGTATACCTCAAAAATACTGTACACTAAAAACTTACACAGGGGTTGAGAGGCTTGTGCTTGCAGAGCTCAGTGAGCCCTCGAAACAGAGTTGGGTTCACATGCTTGCTCAGGTATTCTTCAGTTTCTTCTCTTGAAGGAAGGGGCTCAATAACAGCTGCAGAGAGAAAAACAAAATCATGTGGGCTCAATACCACATTTCCATATTAGCAACAGTTTGTGTGTTGTGTGTTTTACTTACAGTTTGGAAACATGAATTTGATCTCCCTCTCAGCTGCATCAAATGACTCACTGCCGTGGAGCGCGTTCTTCAGGTCAGTAGTGCCATACTTTGCTCTAAGGCTGGAGGGGGAAAAAACCCACATTTATATGCACACCTCTGCTTAAGTTGTCATGAGCACAAACTGTTACCTTTCAACTTAAAGGACCACAATTATACCAAATCAAAAAATAATAACATTAATAAGACATGGTTAACTATGTTCCGTCACAGGAGTATTCAAGTGTTGTGTCACTACAATATGTGCTGAGATAGTCATATAATGTAAGTACTGAACTTGTCTTGATAGTTGAAATAATAGTGTCTAATTCCCCGAAGTATAGTGACGGCCTATTTTTGTTGTCGCAGCCTTTGTTTCTGAGCAAACATTTACTGCTGTTTAGATGGATCAACTTTGCTTGTTCATTTATTCAGCATGTGGTTCATCGTGGTACATTTTATGCATAAAAGGCCCGACAACAGAACAAAAGTCTGAATCGACACCTTATAAGTTAACAAACTGACCATTCTGGGTGAGTTTCCCGAGCCTTGGTGCTGTTGACAGGCCCCATGAGGGACTTCCAGTGTGCAATAGCATTGCTGCGGGCCAGGGTCAGGGCGATGATGGGGCCAGAGCTCATGAAGGCAGTCAAGTTGGGAAAGAAGTACTTTCCATACTGGTCTGCGTAGAAGTCACTGCATTGCTCTGGACTTAGCTGCAGCTTCCGGTTCTGCATTAGACATGAGATATTGAACATTTCACAGAATCAAATTTTGTGCATTAGAATAAATCTAGAAATTCAAACCTCCTCGAGGGGTAAACGCAGTGGAGAATGATGCTTCATAAGAAAGTACTGCTCCTAATCAATTTATTTTAATTTTAGGGTGCTTGTATTTTTGAAGTGTGACCAGTATATGTGCTGTCAGCGCTCCCTGGCGGACAAACTATGCAACGATTTAAGTGTTTATCTGCTCAACTACCCGTCAGTGAGACTTCACGTACATTTTGAGAAGCCGCTGACCCGTTCACGCAAGAGCATCTGAAACTGTAGCTACAGACGTACCACCATGTAATAAGGTCCGGTAAAAATGTTAAAGACAAACCAACCTGCAACACAGCGAATCCCGCTTTGAGGATAACGTCTTCAATCTCCTCACTTCTGTGGATGGCGTCTGGTTTAATGAGAGCCAGGGTTCTCTCCACGTAAATGCGATGATATGAGTCAGGCTCCATCTTTAACAATTAAGTTCAAGATAAGGGTAAAGGTAAAGTTATACAACTACAGTGGGGAACAGGTGGTGAAGGACCAAAGACTTCAAACTGCCTGTGTTCCTAATGTCTATGTCCCCAATTTCCTTTCATGTGCTAAACACCTAATGTCTATGTTCCTGTTGCTAAGATACCACTACCCTCTACGGCAAGCCATGCAGGACAATCCATTTCATGTGTTCAACTTGATTCTCTGGCCTCACACAACTTCACCTTATTTTTTAGCGACTTCACTTTACCTCCCGAGTTCTTAGATACCCTCACCTCAGATTTTAGGGTGTAAGACTATTACACATTTTGTTTATGAATAAAACAGTACATTTTCCAGAGAGGAAAAATAGATTAGACAAAAGCTACCAAAAGTTTTCATGTCCAAATTAGCTTCTTCAACATATCCAATCTTTAATAAACCCGTAGGAGCACATATTCTTTGAAAATCCCGTGATATAAATCACTGATATCATACAGTTAGAGTTGAAACCAAGAGAGCACACGTTCATTTCAAACAAGTCTTTTATTCAAACTGACTTCAACTTATACATCTTATCGAGTTCCAATTGTGACTTGCCACACTCTGATCAGGTTGTCAGTGTAGCCAGCAAACAGGGTCTGAAAAGAAACAGAGGAACGGACATTAACACAGAAGACTCAATTACTTCTCTTTTTCAAAGTTTGTTAGCTTTTAAAGTGCATTTCTCGTTTCCCCTCATATTTGCAGGACTGTCACCAGTTTACATCAGAATTTTAAGTGAATGGGTATAATCACTGGGGGTAACACACATTTGTAGAATTGCAAGACATAAATACTGAAAGGTGTGTTGTACCTGTCCATCAGCAGACCATGCCAGGGAAGTACACTGTGGGGGTTCAGCCTTGCTGTTTGTGCTGATCACTTCCTGTCTGAGCTCATCCACAATGATCTTGCCCTCCAAATCCTACAAGAGAAGGAAAACAACAGGGGCGATCAATAACACAACTGCAGCTATGGGTCAATCTCAGAAACTAATGCATCAAAAACAAACATATTGGTCCACAACAGAGCTCAGAAACAGCCTCTTTATCATCAAAGAATACAGTTGGTTTTGAAGTTTCATCACCGCCCTTAACACCATTGCTTCAATTCTTTACATACTGGTCATAAAATATTCAGGATTAAGTATTTTACCCAGATCTTGATGCTTGGGCCAGTGGCGGCACACAGCCAGTAACGGTTGGGGCTGAAGCAGAGGGCACTGATCATGTCACCACTATCCAGGGTGTACAGGTGCTTTCCCTCATTCAGGTCCCACAGCATGGCCTGGCCGTCCTGGACAAAGAGACAAAAGGTATCCTTTAATAAAATGTCTAAGCAAAATGTACAGCTATTATCTAGGATATTTACATAATGCCAGAGAGCTCACAGCTGGGCTTTAGAGGCATAAACATCACTAATCAGAAGCACCTACACTAAAATGTTTAGAAATCTATCAGCACTTCAAGATTCTTTAGCAACACTATTCAAACAGGTACTTCTACAATAATATAAAGTTTATATCATACCTTTCCACCAGATGCACACAGGGAGCCATCAGGAGAGACAGTCACTGTGTTCAGGAAACCAGTGTGGCCAATGTGGTTGGTCTTCAGCTTGCAGTTGGCCAGGTTCCACACCTTAGAGCAAAGGACACAAAATTTGCATTTAAACCACCATATTTGGTTTCAGACATGTCGAATCAGGTAATACATGCCAGCTTTTCACATCATTGTGCAAATTTAGGATCAAGTCTCATTCGCCTTCTTTTTATAGTCGGTCACAGGTACAAGAACTAAGTAAAAGCTTAAGGGAGTTAAAAATTAAAATGTTACCTTGACCAGCTTGTCCCAGCCACAGGAGACAATGATGGGGTTGCTGCTGTTGGGGGAGAAGCGCACACAGGACGCCCACTCAGAGTGGCCCTCATCCTGCAAATTGAAGAGGTACAATGAAGCATTTTTTTTTTTTTTTTTTTAAATTCCACACTAACGATTCCTGTTTCAAATTAAATCATCAGCATTTTTGATCGGGGTAAGCTAAGTTGAAAAACGTACATTTAATATTTTTTGTTGGCTGGTAAGTCATGAAAATGAGCAGGTCTACTGAAGACCTGCAGCTCCTTCTCTTAAGACATCAAGCTGTTGTTCAATCACTGTCATAGTGTTGCATTTAAAACCATTAAACTCTATTTTCACCGTCAGAAAGACTGATCCCATGAGACAATAACACAGCTCACCTGGATGGTGTATTTGCAGACTCCGAGAGTGTTCCATAGCTTGATGGTCTTGTCCCGGGATCCAGACACAATCTGGCGGTTATCAGCAGAGAAGGCGACACTCAAAACATCCTTTGTGTGTCCAACAAACTGGCGAGTGGTGACGCCACTGGGGAAACATCACAAACACATTCAAGAGTTAAGACAAGTCATCTTATACTAATTTTCTGTGTTTATAGATGCACATTAATTATTTCTTACCAGCAAGTAAGATATTAAGGCTTTATTCTGCCTAGTACTTGTGACCATAAGAAAGTGGTAACTGAGTGAAAGCAGGTTTAATGTAAGAGTATCATCAGATGAATTAGAACAACCTGATCTCAACTCCAATTAGTCTGAATCCTCAGATAATTTTAATTTAAAAAGCTTCATGTGACAGGGTTGTGACAGGTCTGTTAATCTGGTGGTATCATTTTAAACTGCTTAACTAAGATTGACACGAAACATTTCAAGAGAAATACAATCATTGATGCATCATTGATTGAGTCCATCTATACATCTTTTTGGTTGTCAAACTATGTCACTGGCCACAAACTAGGAGGGAGTTTGTCTTAGATCTGAAACAACAGTATCGATGTGGGTTTTCTGTCGACCTGTGTGGATCCTACTTGAAATGAAGTAGATCCTACTATTCAATTATAGCAAAAGATCAAACAAACAAATGGTTCTTTGTTAGAGCTCAGAAACAGCCTCTTTATCATCATAGAATACAGATGGTATTTGAGTTTCATCACTGCCCTTTACACTTTAGTTTCAATGCTTCACATAGTGGTCATGACGTACTCAAGGTTAAGTCTTTTACGCACATGTTGATGCCATTAATGGTTGTGGCTGAGGGCATTGATTGTGTCACCACCGTCTAGGATGTGTTTGCCCTCATTCAGGTGCCAAAGCATGACCAGAGAAATGTAGTCATTGATGTGTATCATTAAAAAAAAGTCTGTCACACAACAAACGCGTAACTGAAGACATGTCCGATCCAGGCACTTACGTGGTGAGATCCCACAGGCGGAGGGTACTGTCCCAGGCGCCGGACAGGGCGAACTGTCCATCTGAGGAGATGACAACATCGCTCACGAAGTGAGAGTGGCCCTTCAAGGAGCGCTGGGGGATGCCATAGTTGGTTTCATCACGGGTCAGCTTCCACATGATGATAGACTTGTCTGAAAAACAGGAAAACATCCCACAAGTCAAATCGGCTCAATTAAAAGCAGATATTTAGTGGGCAAGTGAATGTTCACGGAAAATTGTCTAACAGGAAACAGACAATATATCAAAAAAGGGTTATTTCTACATCCACACATTTCTGGATGTACCTTACTACTGTGTATGTGATATGTGTGGTTATACATGTGTACACCTGTTACACCAGCTAAGGTACGAGAACATGTATCATATCTTAGCTATATTCTCTATATAGTATATCTTGTTGTGTTGCCAGGTACACTTGTATCTAATGGTATTTTTCTCTCACTTGTTTAAATATACTTTTATTTGCACTTATGAATTGTACTTGCAGATACATTTTAAGTTAAACTTGTTACACTGCCAGTTATACTTCAACGTGACGTGGTACTTTGAATCGCAGTCGTGTGGAATGTTATACCTGTGGTCACACCACTGTAGTCTACTACACAGTACAGAAGTGAGTATCTACAGCCGAACAGCAGATGACGCCTGCTGCTGCTAGCTAGCACGGCTAACCGGTATCTTTCTCTCCGGTGGGCGCTCACGGTCTCGATATAAAACCCGCAAACGACCACACGACGTGACTTAGTGGCTTAATTAGTATACACGACATGTTCCACGTACTTTGGTAAAGTTGTTCGTCTTACGTTATTGCAGCCAACCGGCTAGCTCTAGTGCTATGGGAGCCATGTTGGCGGAGCCGGCGGGGAGGACGCCTCACCTCGGGACGCCGACAGAATCATGTCGGGATACTGGGGCGTCGTGGCGATCTGGGTGACCCATCCGCTGTGCCCCTTCAGGGTCCCCCTCACTGTCATCTGCTCGGTCATTTTGGCGAGGTTCGGCGGTGCCTTTGACGAGGATGGATTCGGATTTTTCAGAGGTCCGAAAATACTTAGGTCCTCATCGCATCTGGGCACAGAGGAAAAGGAAGTTCAAACCCGGATGCAAAAGCTATGAGGAGGTGAACGTGCCGCGGAGCACTCTGGGACATGTGGACTTGATTCTTTCAGCCGGGACTACAGATGTTCTACAGGATTTCCACGTCTGAATGAATGTACTGCTCTCTAACACTCTGTGCTGAGGTTTGGCATTAGATTAGATTATATAGTCCACCTGAGAGAAGCGTTTTCATTGTATAAGTTATTCTATATCCTCTTTATTTTCATTCATTCAACATCTATTTGAACTACATTGGGGTTCAGACCTCATTTACACCATTACCTAGAACCGAAAAATAATCACAACATTCCAAGACACCAAGAAAACACATTTGTCAAACAGCAAAATCTAGAAAATAAGAAAAAAGCCATATGACTTGTATGACTGTATAAAACGAATCTAAAGTAAATGAATCAAAAACAATGACAACAAACTGTACGGAAGCCCTAACGGGTCATACATACACACATTTGATTCCACCCGTTTTCCCGTGATAACGACATAATAAAAATAAAAAATCGATGGCCGTTGTCGGCTTCCGTATTTTTTTACTTAATGGCTATTTTATCGTTATACTCATCTGACATATTTATATTTATACTGTAATTCTGTTAATACTTCCATATTGCCATATTTATATTTATATTCCACTGATAATTCTGTTTATATTTATA